TCATCAGATTTCTACGTTATTTAGATAACGACATCGACGACCTTTTTCGGGACCGATTATACTTTTCTGAATAATGCATCACATCGCTTGGGCTAAGATAAGGTCACGTACTTTCATTCTGCGCTCTTAGTCAGACGGTGGATTAGATCCCGCTCAATATTAGACTTGCCTCATTGTCACTCCTGCATTTACTTATCTGGATTAAGATTGACAGTTGGACAATCGTTTTTCATAGTTTTTTCAGTTATTTTCTCAACCTTGAATGATGCCTCGGTAATAATATGCCTAGCAATATCTCGACTGAATGTGATCAGAATCATGTCCACTGTTGATGTTCACGTGCAGTGTCAGTCCGCTGAAGGCAATGAAAATTTCCACACCTGAAAAACTTTAGTATCATTTGTTATGCAGCGAATTTATCGCATGACGTCCAGCACTGTTGTTCGATCTTCGTGGAATGAGTGACGGTTAACCCTGTCCATTATGTAATATGATCCGTCTAACATCTGTTCAGAGTTGCCTGTAGTAGCCTCTTTGCTGAGAATCACCTCTATTCCTTATGTTGTGTCCTAAACATCGTAGTTTTCTCTTCTCTATTTTCGCAAGATTGATCGTGGACCGTCCAGCTGTTTTAGCCCATTAGCTGATCATGAGATGTTTTCACAAGATTCAGATAAGTCGTGTGATACATCATTTCTGCTGCAGAAACATGGACCGTTACCAATGAGGAGTTAATGCGCTAGACGTCCTTGAACCCTTTAACCCCTGTTGGCACCTGTACACACTGATTAATAATATCATGAACGCTAGATTGTTAGAGGACGTTCGAACAAGCATAAATAAAGTACACCAAACAGAAACTAGTATCGGTTTTCCTTATACTGAAGCAAAAAAAACAATCCCTCCCTATTCGGCCATGCACTACAGACAGAGCAGCAAGCGGCTAATCATGGTCATAATTCGTAGTGCGCGAGAGCCTTGCTGCAAAAGGCCGGCAGACAAGTTAAAAATTTGAG